CTAGAATGTGAGGTGAATTTCATCAATTATTACTAATCGATTTAAAATTGATGAGTACTGAGACTCATTATTCTTATTTTCTTAATATATTCTTTTCTTAATATATAACTACTGTGAAACTACAGTGCAATGTAATTCTGAGAGTGGGAAGTGTGGACCCACATACAGGCCCCTATATGGACAATGCAGTGACCTCCAGAATTATTGGCACCCTTGGTAAAAATATATGAAGACATGTCTTTGAATAAAGTTACATCTTTCATAATTTAGATCAATTAAAAAAATCCATTAAGAAAACATAAGTGTTTGGCATCCCTGCATTCAGTAGCTTGTGCACCCTCATTCATATTTAACAAGGGGGGCAGTAATTATGGTATGGTCAATATGGTGATGCCAGTAAAGCTGATTGAAGTGAATTGAATTGAGCGACAGGGGAGCACATCAATGATGATGTACTGCAGTTTTCCAGGAGAAGTGTATGTGCGTGCTCACGCACCTACACAACCCATACTTTTGTTAGCCTATGAATTAAAGGGCTTTTTCAATATGTAGGGCAGTGAGGACTTGGGGACATTAGGAAAGCCCTCAGTCATAAAGATGATTTATAGCAGGTGCTAAAAGCCTTACTCTTAATCTGCTGTGGCCGCACAGCACAGTTATGGCAAGAAATACATCACAGGAATCGCATAAGCAACTTACAGCAGCGAACGCGAGCCGTATTGAGAGAGAGACATCATCATTCTGCCAGAACAGCCACAGCGAAGCAGTAAGGCTGAAACCCGACGCCCCGAACTAAAGCCGTTACATCACGGCTGCCGCCGGCCGGCCCTGTATTTACTCACGTACAGTAGAGGTCAGAGGTCGGCAATTGTTTCCGAGCCACTCTCGCAAGAAGGCTCCATAAAGCCCCGCTCTCGTCCCGCCTGGAGCCACAGGCGCAGACTTTGTGCCGAGGACATTTTTTATTCCATTTCTTTTCACGCTGTCAGATGAAAGTGCTTTTGAAGGCAGTTTTTTCTTCGTTCCCTCATTTAGTCCCGGTTTCTCTCCATCTTTCCTTTCTTACAAACTACAATGAATTTCTGCCTCTCTTTCTCTCTCATTAAGAGAGAGAGACCTTCAGGGGACACTTAGAATGCTTCCTGAGAAATCATTAAATTGCTCTCAGTCTGTTTTCCTCACTCTCTCTTTCTCAGTTGACCCATCCATGCTCCACCCACAAATATGGCTGTTTACGTTTATATATATATATATATATATATATATGCACATACATACACAAATACACACCGATCAGGCATAACATTCTGACCACCTCCTTGTTTCTACGCTCATTGTCCATTTTATCAGCTCCACTTACTATATAGGTGCGCTTTGTAGTTCTACAGTTACAGACTGTAGTCCATCTGTTTCTCTGATACTTTGTTAGCCCCCTTTTACCCTGTTCTTCAGTGGTCAGGACCCCCATGGACCCTCACAGAGCAGGTACTATTTGGGTGGACTTTTAATTTAGAAGTTTAAAGTTTTCACATCTCTCTCTCTCTCTGTCTTTCTCTCTCTCTCTCTCTCTCTCTCTCTCTCTTTCTCTTTCTCTCAAAAAGTAAACGAACTGCTGCTTTTGTGTAAAGCTGAAGATGATGTAAAATGCAGCTCTTAACCTGAGAGGATTGAAGATGCTGATGTAATCCAGAAGAAAATGCGTGCTGAGTGTGTGAGTGAAGGGAAGGAGTGAGGGAACGCTGCAGGACGTGTTTACGGCGTTTAGATCCTGTTATGCTGTCGGGAATAAAGCGAGCTGGGGGAACTGCGGGAGAATGGACAGAAGTTTTAGAGCAGGTTAACCCCATAGTTGGGAACTGGTAATGCTGCAATCCTCTGCAACCTTCACACTCGTCTCCACCCCGCCCCCGTCTCTCTGTCTCTCGTTTTGCATTTGTGTCCATTTTCTCTTCTCCACTTTGTCTCTTTCTCTCTCTGTCTCTCTAACTCTCTTTCAGTTTGTGCTTCTCTGTGTCATTCTCCTCGCCCCCCCCCCTTCACTTTCACAACAAATTGTGACTAATGTAACACGTGGAGGAGAAGCTCTGCCTTTCAGATTCTCACTGGTTGAGATCCAAGCCAATCACATGCATGGGATTTTCACAATTATGCCAGTTTTACAGCAACAAGACCAGAAGCTGTGATGTTTGTTTGTTTGTTTATTTGTTTGTTTGTTTGTTTTGTGAAGTATTTGCTTTATTGTCTTTTTGGTGCAGAGTGAACATCATAGCCTACAGGTTATCTTCAGTAATAAATGTAGAGTTAAGACTGTCTACAATAGAACTAGAGAAGTGATTGTACAGCTCATCAACCCCCAGGTGGTTCCTAGGGTTATGCCAGACAGTTGCTATGGTATTGTAGGTAGTTGCTAAGGTGTGGCTAGGTAGTTCGTATGATATCCCAAGTGGTTGCTGGGGTGTTGCGAGGTGATTGCAATGGTATCCCAGGAAATTCCCAGGGTGTTGCTAGGTGGTTCCTATGGCATCTCAGAGTATTGAAGCATGATTGCTATGATATACTTAGTGGTTGCTAGGCGCAGTTACTATGATGTTCCGGGTGATTACTAGGGTGCAAGGTTTTTGCCTGGAAGGAAATGAGGCTTGAAGCATCCTCTTTCATGGCTTATGTTGGGCCTGCACACAGACGAGTTGGGTCTTTAGGTTTGTGGTTTTTGGGGTTTAATTTTGTCTCTATAGAAACATTTTAACATGTAAAATACAGAAAATCAAATCGTACCTTAACATCAGAATTGTATGTCCTTCTTCACCCTCTAGAGGGCATGCATGCAAAAATATCGCTGTTGTCAGAAGAAAACTTCATATCTGCAAAAACTTTACAGGAGAAGGAAAAAACTTACTTTACTTTTAATGTAAGTCAGTGGAACCAGACGTTATTCCAAGTGATTTTAGGCCATTTCTTTTGGTCCAATCTTCATAAAATCCACAGGCATTTTCAAATTATGTCAAAAACTGAAAAATGACAAATGGAGATATGAGGTTCTCTTCTGACAGCAGCGATATATTCATTTGTAAGTTCAGACCGTGTCTTCAACATGGTGGAGGTAGTTTGAGGGAGGGGGGAGAACTCCGAGAGCTTGGGCTGGAGTTCTGGGCAGCCTCTGCCTGTAGCTAGAAGGCCAGATCTCCTCATAGCTGTAGCAGGACTAATGTAGGACTGAGGAACAGGGGGGGAGATGGGGTGGTGGTGGGGATTGCAAACACTTCGTCACGGGAACAGAAGGCCAGGATTTGAATTTCTAGGGCGTTAGATTGGAAGAAGGCGGTGTTTCAGCCATGCTGCTCCACCCAACCTTCAGTTATAATTACATTTACATACGTATGATACTGAGAGGCACAAAATCGAATGTTGAACTGTGTGTGTTGTTACACTCATGGCCAGATCTTCCATAAAGGTGACTTGGGTGAACTTCCTGGGGCCCTACGTGCCAAAGGGCAAGAAAAAAATTGTGTTTCATTCAAAAATGACTTTGTAAACGTTTCTCTTAACTTTTGTCGTCTGCAATCGGGTAAAAGTTGTTCCTGTCCTAAGTGGATGCACCTTTATTATGAAGGCTGTTGGCTAAGCCTGTGTTTTGTCGATGTACGCAGTCTTGCTATTGTTTTGTCTCGAGTTTCCTTGCCTTCGGTTTCTTTGTTTCTCTGGTGACATTGTTTTTTGCCGTACAGTGATGTAGCCCACTGTGGCTGATTAAAATGAGCAAAACTCCATCTGTTGTGGTGTTAGCTGTGTGATCAGAGAAGAGCTGATCTCCCGCAGCTGTGAAGCTGCGCTCATCAGTTCGATTACACTTGCTGTAACACGCTGATCAACAAGGTCACTGGACAAAAAACAAAAATATGTACATACTTGACCAAACGTTGTGGTTTTTATGTTTTGTTTTTCACTTTATCCCTTCCTCTTCAGCATTAACACCCAGGGGTCCATGCACTGAAGAAGATGAAATCGCTCTGTTGTTGGGTTCAAAGTTTTGTCTCGTTGATGTTACTGAACAAAAGCTTGTAAGTCAGTGAAACTGAGTTAGTTGTTCTTTCAGTGAAATTCAGTGAGCCGTCAGATTTACTGTGTACGTGTTTGTTCAATCAGTGTAATCTGGTTGGGTAAAACTCCTCTTTCTCATTGGTTCCTGGCATCATCTATTTGCATATTCTTCTATTTGTTTTGCTCTCTTTCTTCATGTTGTCTTTCTTCCTGTCTCACCTTTCCTTTGCTGTGCATCTTTCTTACACTCCTTCGGTGAAGTGACCGTTCACATTGTGGCTGTTTAACTTACCACTGAGTGTAATTCTACAACAGCTCAGCAGGACATTCTTTATTTTCTTTTTCTACTTTAATTAGTACACGGTTCTCTATTGAACATCCTAAAATCTACACAACACAGTTTGTGGAACCATTTGACACTTTTAGATAAATCCACTTAATTTTATTTATTTATTTATCTTGAGTGTGGAGGTCTGAATCCAGCTTTGGTTCCAGCCATAGTGTTTGTATTTTTCCACTACTGTGTAAATAGTTTGTTCAGTCAAATTTTGTATCTTACACTAAAAAATTATGTTGCTTTTCAACGTAAAAATCTAAATAACCTGGTTAACTTATATTTGAGTTTAACTTGTAATAGTAACTTAACAGAATCTGTTTTACGTTTAACTTATTATTTGAACCTCTTTGAGCTCATCATTTCAAGTTAATTTGGTTTCTTACATTTTAAGGTTAAATGCTGCATAACTTTACAGTGCAGTGTGTTTTTAAAATAACTGAAATTAATTTGTTGTGAAATTTGTGATTTTGTGATGCAGTGAATCATTTTTCAGATCGAGCTGTTATGAGGTAAGATATTTACACGTAATATTTAAAGGTGTAACGTTCTTTCTGTTTGTGTTTGTGTGTGTGTGTGTGTGTGTGTGTGTGTGTGTGTGTGTGTGTGTGTGTGTGTGTGTGTGTAGGTTCCTGAGAACGCAGTCATTGGAGTGGTACTACAACAATGTAAAGAGCCGCTTTAAGAGATTCGGCAGTGCTAAAGTCCTCAAAACCCTCTACAGGAAACACATCATCGAGAGAGGAGCGCTGTCAGAGTTACCAGGTATACACACACACACACACACACACACACTGTGGAGTCGATATGGAGACAAACATAAGTTGGCCTTGCCTCTGGAAAGTGAGGCATGTATCATATGCAAAAGTTTTAACACCTCTGGTCAAATTCCATGTTGCTATTGAGCTTCTGTAAATGTAAATAAGTTACACATCCTCTACAAAGAACACAGCTCTGCACATTTTAATGCACAATTACTGTTTATTTGCTAAAAATCTTATAATATGGGGGAAAAACATAACATATGGCACTTTTTTAGATTTCATGCTTTATTTTTTCCAATATGTTAGCAGCAAATATGCAGAAAATGCTATTTAACCCCTTTCATTTTTCGTTTCGTTTTTTTATTTTTTATTTAATTATATTAGTAAAAATATCCAATGAGTTCCGTTCCGCTGGCAGTATGACCACTAGAAGACCTACAGAAAGGTCCTCACAGGTTAAGTGTGTTCCCTTCAGAGGATGTGTTAACTTGTGTTTTCACTTCACACTTATAAAAGATGGTTCTTCAAGAGTTCTTCAGGAAATAAAACACTGTGCATGATTAAGGGGTTCTTCTGTCACAAGCTTGATAACATATCAGTAGAAGAACCTTTCTTGGTGCTATATGGAATTCACAAATGTTCTATGTAGAATCATAAACAGATTCTCCATCAATCTAAAGAACCATTTCACCATGCAAAGAACTCTTTAATCATGCAGGGGTTCTTTGAACGTTCTTGATTCTATAAATTTTATATTCTATCAATTATTGTAAATTTCCCCTGTGGTGGGACTAATAAAGGATTATCTTATCTTATAGAGAACGATTTTCTTGGACCATCTTTTTTAAGAGTATACAAAACGTAGTTTGTCCAGAGGTATTCAGACTTTTTTGCATACAACTGGACTTACATATACAGCACTGTGCAAAATGGCAGTGAAGTACCAATTAGTCATTTATGCCTCAGGGAGACAAAAGAAAACATATATTTAACTGAACAAAAGCCTGGAGTGGTCAAACCTTTGCATATGACTACTCAGTGTCTGTGTAGCTGCTGATAATAGTAATCACTTACAAAAGACTTCTCTCCAGTGGCATAATCTGATTTTACTTATGTTACTTTTTCTCTTAAGGGCCAAAAAATGCCTGTTTTTTCACTACTTCTGATATTTCTGTTATGAACTCATTGATAAAATCCTGTCTTAGGCTTACTTATTGATGTCTCCTCTTGCCAGCTGCTCAAAAACAAAAGGCCTAACTTCAACATCTATGAGATTTCCTATGTTATGTTAGCTCTAGCTAGTGGTGGTATGAATTCACATCTTATGGCATTTATTTCAAGCTCTCTGGGGCTCTTCAGGGAGCATATAATCATATATCTTTAATCAGAATCTTTAACAACACACAGATCAGTAAAACAAGTTTTTCTCTGATATTATTGGATGGGCCTGTTAGCTATCCTCAAGCTTTTCAGTCTGCTTTAATGAGGGCAGAATATATTCCAGTTACAGAGAATACAGAGTGTCACATAATTTCTTGAAAAGCTATTTTGGAAAATTAGTGTTAAAAACATATAATACTTTCACATCTGGGAACCAATTAAGCAATAGAGCAGGCGAGGGAGCGCATTACCACTAATAACATCGCAGAGAGCTAATAGAATTAACAAAACTGATGATGCTCAAGAGATTTACATTGAAGTTGTATTGTACTCATTCATTGCCTAGGCATCTATGAAACATGAAAAATGAAGTCAAGCACTTAGTTTTCAAATAAAGCAAAATAAATCATACTACATACTAGGGGTGGGAAACTCTAGGCGCCTCACGATTCGATTACGATTCAGAATTATAAATAGCGATTATAAAGCGATTAACGATGCATCTCAATGCATCTTTTTTTTTCTATACATCATTTCTGTTTTCTCTCTGTGTGAGGACTTGGTAGTTTTAAACCAAAGTATTTGTAATGATCCATAATGAATTTACTTCCAGTATATTTTATTAATAAAACAAATGGAAGTGATGTGGTAAGTGAACTAGAAGGTTCTCATTCACTGCCTTTGGAGCACGAGACGCTGCTGCCACTCATCTACGATAAAATGCGCAGTTAGGGTGAAATAAGGTCCAGTGGCAGTGGATGACCATGCAGCGCGTTACAGCCGTCCTGCCCGTTTTTAGTGACTTTTTAACTTTGGTTTTGGTCTCGTTGTAGAGAAGGAGTGGGAGGTGGGTGTCGAGACGGGACGTGTGCAACATTGCGCAAAAGCCCTGTTTCGCAACGACTGAGAATTGCCGTGCAGACTGCAGGTCACCTAGCAACGATGCGTTATTCGCATTTATATGCAGTGCAGTTGGTTTCCTGGTACGTTAAATCTGCAACGAGAGACTGTCAAACACTAAACAGTTGCAAAGATGAAGTCGCTTCTCTTTCTAATTTTCCCGTTCCACCTTAAATGGTGTCGCATTTACATTCGGCGCCTCAGTCAGAATTTAAGGTGGAACGGGTAAATTTGAACAAGAAGCTGGAGAATAAGAAGCGACTTCAGCCTCGTAAGACAGTCGTTGAGAGACATTTAACTGATCTACTTCTGAGGAAAGGTTTTCTGGTGGAGATGAGAGGAAAGCGGCTGTAGGCGAAGCTTAAAGTAGAGCGAAGTAAATCTGAGCTCTCGTTTATATTGTTTAGTCTATACTAGGACATCAGCTCATACTGAGACATACTGGACATTAAATGTTGTGGCTCCCAAGCTGGTTTGCTTTTTGTTGAAAGGACAAAATGGCTCTTCTGATCATTTGTGCTGTGACTCCTGACCTAACCTGGCTTTAATGCAGAGGGAGCCGGTCGGATTTCTCGCTCCTCCAGTAGTGTTTTTGTTATGTGACACAGACTGTCCGGGCGCTGCACTTCCCCACTTACAAGTTCCGCCTTTTGCGTTCCGTCAACATTACGTTATAAATTAAATATTTAGAAAATCGATTTGACGTTGAATGAATCGATTCAGAATCGTTCACGTCCGCATCGTGATGCATCTAAGAATCACCCCTAGTTCATACAGTAAATGATTAAAAAGTCAAGCATTAATATAGTAAAAAGCCACACAGTCATCACTGCCGCTGTGTTAGTGCCTACTGAAGTAATAATTGCTCTGAAGCAATTATTGAATTGATTTGCTTCCTCTGTTGAAAAGCAGCACAAATATCACAAAGGAAAACAAGGTAACCACAACAGGTTCACAAGGCTGTCCCTGATTGGTCAGAAGCTCACCCTGATTGGTCCAAGAGCCGTTCATGATCCAAAATCTTGAGCTTCACCCGATGTAGGCTGCTAAAAAATGATCCACTATTGCGAGACAGAAATAATCCAGGCTTAGATCAAAGCTTATCTGGCTAAGCTAGAAGTCCTGCTTTCTGAAACAGGACTTCGATCATGTTTGAGAGTATAATTTTTGGTTACAACAGTGTTTATGACGGTGTTTGTCCAGTGGAGTTACATATAAACAAATAAACAATGAATAAATAACGCGCACACACTCACACAGTGACTGTCTGTGTCCAAATGGACATCAAAGGTCACGGCTCTTAATCCCCTACAGATATTAGCAGATTAAATGATGCAGGCAGACTGTCAGTAATCCTAATGGAGGCGTGTGTTTGTGTGTGTGTGTGTGTGTGTGTGTGTTTGTTTATGTGCACTTAGTGATGACTTCATCGCTCCTTCTCTCTGCCAAACGCCCCTGTGTGTTTATCATGTACTGCTGTATTGCTAGGGCTGGAAATATTTAGTCCCAGAAGCCCCACGATGCCATATTACCACATCAGGTTCATGTTGTTTGGTGATAAAACACTGATGTATCAATACTATTTTTCCACTCAAACTCCTGCAATATTATGCTGCATCATTCTGTCTCCCACTTTTAACTGCTACTACTACTAATGCTGCTACGACTACTGCTATTATCATCATCATTACTAGTAAGATTAGTATGACTACCACTATTTCTACAACTACTACTAATGCTGCCACTTCTACTACTACTTATAATAGTTATAATAATAAAGCTGCTACTACTACTGCTAATACTAATGCTACTACTATTATTAATGCTACTATTACTACTACTAATGCTACTATTACTTCTACTGCTATTTCCACTACTACTAGCATGATTAGTATAACTACTACTGTTACAAATGCTACTACTACTAATGCTGCTACTACTGCTATTACTACTACTATGACTACTACTATTACTACTTCTAATGCTACTATTACAAATGCTAGTAGTAATACTACTACTGCTACTACTACTAATGCAGCTGCTTCTACTATTATGATTGCTACTGCTACTGCTATTGCCACTACTATTAATATGATTAGTATGACTACTACCATTACAGATGCTGCTACTACTTCTACTACTACTAATACTTCTACTATTTCTACTACTATTACTACTAATACCTCTACTACTACTTCTACTACTACTAATACTTCTATTTCTACTACTATTACTTCTAATACCTCTACTACTACGGATACTACTACTGCTATTGCCACTACTATTAGTATGACTACTACCATTACAGATGTTACTACTACTACTTCTACTACTACTGCTGCTGCGACTACTAATTCTTTTACTACTACTACTACTACTGCTGCTGCTGCTGCTGCTGCAACTACTGCTGATACTACTACTACTTCTACTACTACTGCTGCTGCGACTACTAATTCTTTTACTACTACTACTGCTGCTGCTAATACTACCAGTACTTCTGCTACTTCTACTACTACTAATGCTGCTGCTACTACTACTAATACTTCTACTATTTCTACTGCTGCTGCTGCTAATACTACTACTATTACAAATGCTGCTACTCCTACTAATGCTTCTACTACTTCTACTATTAATGCTGCTACTACCACTGCTATTACTGCTACAGCTGCTACTACTACTATTACTAATGCTTCTGCTACTGCTACTAACAATGCTAATGCT